AAAGGGGCCCCAGCGACCCAGGGGACAGGAGCACCAGGGGCAGAGAAAACAGGAGATGGACAAAAACCCAACCAGCAGGGTACAGGTACGGGGTGCTCCCCCTTCCCCCAGGTACACCGAAGGAAACCCAGCAACCAGGAACGGAGGAGCAGGAATCGCCTCCGCGCCTGATCAAGCACCAAAACGGCCACAGAGGAGCCAGGTATCGCTACAAAGAGAAAAACTACGCCGAGCAGAGATTAAACTACGAGAGGAATGGTAATCTCAGAAGTTCCTCTTACAGCATTAGAAATTAAGGTATTGGGGAAAAGGGTTTGTCTTTTGTTCCAGGTCCACGAGCACGAGATCTCCCTGTCCAACGTAGAAGAAACATGGGATAGAATCGAAACAGCAGTGATGAGGAAGATGGACGAAGCACAAGACAAGTGGATGGGGAACCAGCAGCCGAGGCATGCAGACCCCCCATCTACCCTAGAGTCCTCCCTACTACCAGAGTTTCGACAAACCAGCCAACGAGGAAGAGACCAGCCCTAAGAAGCAAGGTGCAAGCCCTAAAGAAGGAGGCAAAAATCACACCTTCTCCCTAAGACGAACCTGAAGAAGGGAGAGCGAACAGCATAAAAGGTTTGTCCCACAACCTAATATTGTAGCTAATAAGGCAGACAAAAGCCCATCTTTGGTGATTAGTCCACAGAAAACTACAGAGCAGCGGGCCCTGAAGCACTTGAAGGACGAGAGGACCTACGAGCCCTAACAGATGGCGGGGACTGCCCTAGAAAAAGCTCAAGACAGAGGTAAGAAAACTAATCCTGGACCTGTACAGAAATGAGGGCAGAGCAGGGACAATGACAGTAGCCCTGGGGGACTCCTTTCTGGAAACACAAAAGTAGAGTGCCCAGTATCTACTTTCTGGCCAGACACAAAGGACTTGGATCCGACTACGGGCACAGGAAAAAAAGCCCAGTGGTGTCAGGTTGTGCAGCACCTACCAGGCCCGTAGACAAATTCCTGACAGCCCTGTTGATGCCCTTTGGGAGAGTTAATCCCCAACAGGATCAAGGACACCACCCACTTCCTACAGAAAATGGAAGCCCTGAAGGATGAACTGCAAGAAATCCAGAAGACTACAGGTTTTGGGATCCTTTGATATTGAGTCTTTGTACCCTTCTATCCCCCAGAAAGAAGCAGCAGCCAGAGTGAGCTCATTCTATGGAGACAAGCTACAGGACATCAAGGACGTGCTGAGAACCAGAGGGATAAGGACACCACCATCCCAAGCCCTCGTCAGGACGAGCAATCCTGCATGTGATGCAGGACACCCTCCTGGAGTTTGACGGCATATACTACAGACACGAAGACGGGAACGGCATAGGAGCGTCAGTCAGGTTTAGCAATTGTCTGAAACTGTTCGTCTACCGGACGGTATTAGAAAGTGGAGATTGCAAGGGCAAACCTAAACCTCTTGTTTTTTGCAGATTATATTGATGACATCTTCTGCATATCCCAGGAGGAGAATCTGAAGTACAGCGACGTTGACATGGCTGAATGGTGTCAACAGAGCCTTGAGATTCACTTATGAAAATGGATAATAAACAGGAGCTCCCCTTTCTTGGACACAAATGTCTACTTGTACACGAGGCGGGGAGCCTCCAGACAAAGACTTACTACAAACCGTTCCAACACCCACAGTTCCTCTATGGACTTCAGCACACCCAACTCCCTAGGAGGTCCTGCCGTACTCCATGCATTGCGGATCAAAGAGAATTTGAAGCGAGAGCAACAGAGGTGAGTATGCAAACAGAGAAATGTTGGATTTTTTCAGGTCCAGAGGATATCCAAGAAGGGTCCGAGGAGGCGAGCAGAAGGTGGACACCCTGGAGAGACGAGACCTCATGTAGTGAAGAGAAGGTGCCCTAGGAAGATGATCCTACATGAAGTTCGAAGCTAGGATGGCCAGGACCATCAAGAACACCCTGAAGGACCTCGTGGATGTGGATAGAACAAAAGTATGGGGAAGCCCCATGGTTCAAGCACTTCCCCCAGACAACAACCACTAGTTGCAGGGATGAAGTTCGACTCGATCAAGGACCTACTAAGTGAGGGCAAGATTCCCGAAGAAGCAGATGACCTATGGAGTGGGAATGAGAGTCCCTCGCGAGTTTTGCTCCTCCTGAAGGAGAGGCCCTGTAGGGCAATGGGTAGGACACTAAGCACCTCCTTGTTGGACCCCGGACTGAGCCAGGGTGGGGCGTCAGTGTTGGTATTTGCAGCCGCACAACGAAAACCTAACCCTCGATCCTCAACTTGGTTCAGGAAGGGGACGCCCCTCGAGCCGCCCCTGACGAGAGGACCGAAACCTTGCGAGAGCCTTCCCCACTAAGGGAAAAACACTAGAAAGACATTTTTGTTGTGTCTGGACGGTGAGCACGGGTAGGGGGAATCCCGGGCAGAGGACCTGACCGCCTATGTTTACATGCCTGAGGCGCCTCCCAGCCTAATTAAAAGTCTTCCCACGGGTACCAGTGGAGAGGAAAGATTTTACATGTTTCATGAATTAGGAATGTTTCCCCTGTCTTTATTTCAAGGAACAGCTAGTGGACTACCACTTGGTGCAAACGAAGCACGTGGGACTCGGGACAGCCGGGAAGGGGCGAGAGCCGGAAGCCTGGAGACACGGACAGCCAAGGAGAAGGACACCGAAGAAAAGAAATACACCTCTTCCCCCCCGAGGACCGGAATCGGCGACACCGGCCGGAAGAGGCCCCACCGTGGACTGGAGTTCAGGGAACCGACAAAGCAGCCGGCCATTTGTTTTCTTCTCAAGGAAAAGCCGGCATCCCCTTTGAAGGGGGAGGCATGGAGGACGAGAGCTGGAGCCTGCCAACAGGAGAAGCGGACTTGTGGCCCTGGATAAAGCCGTACCAGGACTCAAGCACTGGTCCCACAGTGGACGGGAATGGTGAAGAAGAAAAGGACAGAATCGCACCAGCAACCCGTATGAAGGACCCAAGAGCTAGAGGGACCTAGACAGGATTAAGCGGGCAAGGAATGAAACCACACGAGAAGCGGCAGAGTCGGAGACGGAAGGGGAACAGGAGCAGTGAGCGCAACGAAGGCCAGACCAGCATTTTTGTATACTTCTTAGATTTTGTCATTTTCCGAAGGTTATCCTAGGTGTGAGACCTGCGGGTTACATACCTTTTTCTGTGGATTTTTGTGTAATACAGGAACTTAGGTAGGAGGGTAGGGGACCCAACCCCACGAGAGAAGCCCCCCGAGCCCCCTAGGGCCTTAGGACACCACAGGACCCCAAAAAAAACCTTTGCTTTTTGGAGACCTTTAGACTTTGGTCTGACCTTGTATCGTCAGATGATCCCCGCCCCATACCTGACATAGAGGGACCAGGTTGAAGAATGGGAGCACTGCACCTACCTACCCCAGGCCCAAAAAATCCTAATCCTAGGGTTGAACCAAAATACTAGGATTGGTATTTAAGCTGGGAGGGTCACGTTAAAGAATGAACCTTTTTTGTGACCTTGGCGCTAGAGAATAGTAGAGACTGAAGACACACCTTACACTAACCTCACCATGCCTCATTCACTTTAACCTGGATAACGCAAGGATTACCACCAGGAAATGAATGTAAGCCTGTGAGTTTCGAAGATAGGACTTACTTCAGTTTTTATACATTGTATCATTTCATAAGAAGCTGCCTGATATAACCGACCTGCAGTTTCTTTAT